ATGAGACAAGAGGGGTGGGGGCCAGGGTTGAGGAGAGCAAAGAAAGACTGAGTCAGCCATGGGAGGGAGTGGAGAAAGAGAGGAAGCCAGCCCTTCGGGAGAGCAGGTGGGCCACAGTGTAAGACGCGTCTCTCCCAATGTTTCTTCTGTATTTCGTTCTCTCTGTCCTGTCTTTTGCTCGGTCACCCAGGACTGATAGCAGATGTGGATTCCTCCTGGTTCTTGCTAAACCTCATTTACCATAAGACTCAAAGTCGTCTTGGTCAGTTAAGCAGAATTCTGGGTTAATCCAGCATTTTGGGCTCACCAGCATTCCAAGTCCCCACCTCAGTGGGCATGACCACTTCTCTGGGGGTGTCACCATGACATCGTTTATGCTAGGAGCTCAAGAAGACCCTGGCAGGGAAGCCTTTCGGAGCCCTCAGCCCACTTGGCACTGTGTGGGTCCTGACTCACACACAGTCCGGCAGCCTGAGGGGAGCCAGTGGCAGGTGGGCCATAAAGGCCTGTCTTGTTTGTGGCCGATTCACCCTGGTGAAATGGTATTTACAGGGTTGCTACAGGCGGTTGCTGCTTTGCTAGGCACAGTATAAAATGCATGAAGCCAACTTGTGCCTCACCCTCTGGGCGTTCGCCCAGTGAAAGGAGAGACCGGGAGACTGAGCAATCAGCCTGTGGGAACACTGGCTATTAAATGTCACAATAAATGTTTTCTGTGTTTTTCAAAGCAACTCTGAGGTAGTGGAAGCAGAACATTTGAAACCGGAATGAAATTATGACTATTTAATGCTGTCTTGGAAAGTTACATCCCAAAGCAGACGGTTGGAATCTGGTGGGCATTGAAGGACAGGGTGAACGCTGAGGCGAACGACAGCTTCCATCGTTCTAGGGTGGAGATTTATTAGAGCAAAAGTTGCTTTATCCTCTTGACTGTATTTCTGGTGAAGCTCAAGTATGGTGGTTTTGCACAATTAGCTTGGGGGCTGCACAGACCAACCCCAATCCCAGCAGCGCCAGTCTGGGCCGAAGACTTCTCTTGTGTGTGCCTCTCCTGTCTCCTCCGTGAAGGGGGATAAAGGTAGGCCTTCTTCATCAGCTTGTCACAGGGATGTAGAGTCTGGGACCTAGAAACTCGTCTGGCAGGTGCAGAATGTTCGTGTTACACATGAGGCAACTTGAACTCCCTTGAAATGACTTGACCCTGGGTACTTACCACCTGCATACCAGAGTTGAGACACCAGCCCAGCATTCTTTCAGGAATTTTCCATCCCAGATAGCTGTGGGAATATATCCAGGTAATATATTCTTAGGCACTTAAAAAATTAAGGTATCTGCAGGGCACAGTGACTCATGTCTGTAATCCCAGCACTTTGGGAGGCCGGGCTAATGGATCACCAGAGGTCAGGAGTTCAAGACCAGCCTGGCCAACATGGCGAAACCCTGTCTCTACTAAAAATTAAAAAAAATTAGCTGGGTATGGTGATGGGCGCCTGTAGTCCCAGTTACTTGGGAGGCTGAGGCAGAAGAATCCGTTGAACCTGGTGGGTGGAGGTTGCAGTGTGCCAAGATCACACCACTGGACTCCAGCCTGGGCAAAAGAGCAAAACTCCATCTCAAAAGAAAAAAAAAGGTATAATTTACATACAATAAAATTCACTCTTTTTTACTGGACCGCTTTGCCAGCTTAGACAAGGCCATAATGCAGTCATTCCATGGGAGGGTCCCTGAGCCCCCAGCATTCCCCTGCACCATTACCCACCAGCCACTGACATGTTCTCCATTTCTGCAGTTTTGCTGTTTCCAGAATGTTGTGAAAATTGAGTCATATGGGATGCCGTCTCTTGCATTTGCCTTGTTTTATTTATCACTGTGGTGTTCAGGTGCATCTGTGTCGTAGGTAGCAGTGGTTGGTGCTTCTCTTTTGCTGCATTGTGTTCTACTGTATGGATTCTCCTCTTGAGGGGACATTGGGGTTGTTTCTCCTGTTTGGGGATTACAAATAAAGCTGCTAGTGCCATCCACATAAGGGCTTTGTGACCGTAGTAGGTCTGCTGCCCCATGTGCATGCCACGTCAATGTGCTGTGACTCTGGGTTGCAGCAGAGAAAGAATTTTAATCGTAGGACCACCAAAAGAGGAGAAGGAGGAAACTCAGATTGTCTGCCGGAGGAATTTGGGGCTAGGTATTGTTAAGGGTTTTGGAGAAGCCCTAAGTGGGTTGAAGAGCGTAGAGTGAAGGGACAGGGAGATGAAGAAACTTCATTCCAGTGCTGATTCAATTCCTCTGGGGGGCAGTCTTCAAACCAGCTGGTATCAGCAGTTTCCCTGGAATTCAGGATCTGAGGAACACCTTATGCAGTTCTTAAAGAGAAGACTTAGGATTCTAATGTTAGTAGTCCTATCTGCAAGAACGTTGGGGATGCAGATGATGAGTATCTAGTGCTGTGTGACTTTGGATTATGAGGAAGTGGGCAGAAGCGTGGCGTGTTGGGTGCTAAATTATCACCGCATTGCTGTCCAGAATCCTTGGTGGCCTTATGAGGATGCCTTCCGTTTTTGTGAATGTAGGTTTTCACTTCATTTAAGGATGTAGCCAGGAGTACAGTGGCTGAGTGCTACGGATTATGAATGTTTACTTATAAGAAACTGCTGAACTCACTTCTAAAGTTGCTGAACTATTTTTCCATTCAGACTGGCAGGGTATACAAACAGCACTCGTTGGGGATTTTTTGTTTTGTTTTGTTTTCTTGATTCTAATAGATGTTACTTGTTTCTAATTGTCATTTTAATTTGCATTTCCCTGATGAGTAATGGTGCTGAGCATCTTTTCAAGTACTTATTTTCCATCCATGTATCTTCCTTGGAGAATTGTCTCTTCATATCTTTTGCCCATTTTGGGGGAGGGGAAGCTTGTTTGCTTTCTCATTATTGTGTTTTAAGCGTTCTTTGTGTATTCCTGGTACTAATCTTTAGCAGACACTTGATTTCCAGTCTTTTTATCCCCACTAGTTCCCCTTTCGCTGTCTCAGTAGTACCTTTCAAAGAGCAGAAATTTCTTTATTTTGATGTAGTCCAATTTATCAGTTTTTTCTTTTACATATTGTGCTATTGGTATCATATCTAAGAAATCTTCACTTAGCCCAAACTCACATGTATTTTCTTCTGAAAGTTTTATAGTTTTTGAAGTTCTGTATTTAAGTGATCCATTTAAAGTTGAATTTTGTATGGTGTGAGAGGGTAGGGCATGAAGTTTATGTATCTGCTAGCGGTACTGTGTGCCTTCGTTACACATCCGTCAACCGTCTGTATATGTTCAGGGGAATGCTTTTAAAGTGGATTTCTGCCTACTTGCTTTTGGAGAACAATTGTAAAAATTGTTTCTGTAATTGTGTAGTATTTTCCAGTGTTCAAAATGTTACCCTATTCATTTTCCAATTTGGTTTTGAGCTTTAATGCAATCCATTGAAGTATCTAGCTTGAATGTTATTTTTCCCTGTTACTTAAAAACACAGGTAGAAGGTGGCAGAGCCAGAGTCAGATCACTTAAAATCTAGGAACTTTTCCCAACAGGAGAGAGCAAAGGGACTCAGTCTCTGGCTTCCCCCAACTGAATTTAATTGTGGCTTAGTTTAGTAGGAGCTTTGTAAACAGAGACAAAGTGATCTCCATTGTTGGTTTTCCTACTCAGCTCCCTTCTAATAGGAGGTGGTATGGTTTAGCTGTGTCCCCACCCAAATCTTACCTTGAATTGCAGCTCCCATAATCCCCTTGTGTTGTGGGAGGGGCCCCGTGGGAGGTAATTGAGTCATAAGGGTGGGTTTTTCCCATGCTCTTTTCGTGATGGCGAATAAGCCTCATGAGATCTGATGGTTTTGTAAGGTTCAGTTTCCCTGCACACACTCTCTGGCCTTCCTCCATGTACGACGTGATTTTGCTCCTCCTTCACCTTCTGCTATGATTGTGAGGCCTTCCCAGCCATGTGGAATTCTAAATCTATTAAACTTCTTTCTTCATAAATTACCCAGTCTCAGGTATTTCTTCATAGTAGGATTAAAATGGACTAATACAGGAGTTCTGTTAGAATTAAAGATCAAATATACAAGGGTCCTAGCACAGTGTTTAGCATGACGTAGGATCTATCATTCATATCATTACTGTTTTTTGTGGGTGTTTGGTTTCTAGAAAATACATCACTAAGGAAAGAGTGATTCATAATTAAAGTATATGCAGGTATACAGGGAAAACATTTTTGGAATGGAACAAACACAGTTGACTTTAATCATTGAATGTAGAAGAGTTGAAGTGAGTTTGATGGGAGAGGACTGTTCGGAGGGGGACAGGTCTTCATTTTGCTTTAACCTCCTAGAGTGCTGCAAGACTTAGAGGAGAAAATCATGTGCATGCTTAGCACACAGCATGGGCACTTAGTCTGCAGGTGGTAAGTGTTGTTATCTGTTAAAAATCAAGATTATGTGTCAAGACAACCTGTCAGAAGTTAGCATTCTTTGAGCATTCTTTGTAGATTAGAGATTCATTTTCTTTTTTGAGACAGGGTCTTGCTCTGTTGCCCAGGCTGGAGTGCAGTGGTGCGATCATGGCTCACGGCAATGTCTGCTTCCTGGGCTCAAGTGATCCTCCTGTCTCAGCCTCCTGAGTAGCTGGGACTACAGGTGCAAGCCACCAATACCCAACTATTTTGTTTTTTGTATTTTTTCGTGTAGGTGGGGTTTTTACCATGTTGCCTAGGGTGGTCTTGAACTCCTGAGCTGAAGCGATCTGCCTGCCTTAGCCTCCTAAAGTGTTGAGATTACAGGCATGAGCCAGTGTGCCCGATGACTTTTTTTCTTTGCTCAATTTTCATCGTGTTAGCCATCAGCCCCTCGTCTGGAAGTGATCTTTCTCTTCTTGGTATTTCTGTGATTCTTCTCATAAGGATTATACATTAGTCTGAACATTCCCTAACCCACATTCTGCTTAGCTTCCTTGTTTTTCGGTTTGCAGGGGGCAGCACTGAAATACTTACCAACGATCGTCAATGACGTGAAATTGGTGTTTGATCCCAAAGAGCTCAGGTAAGTATATAGCCCGGGTGAATGCTTGTCACGTGCTGTGCGTGACATCCTCTCACTCAGTTTATGGGATACTCAGGTTCTGCCTCATGTCTCCGTATGTCAGTGCCCTGGTCATTCTGGAACATGTGCTGCTGGTGGTGTCTGTGATTCTTTGATAATTATGACATTATATGGGAAAAGCATCACCAGTCAACCATCACAATATTATCATCATCATCATCATTATTATTTTTGAGACAGAGTCTCACTCTGTTGCCCAGGCTGGAGTGCAGTGGCACAATCTCAGCTCACTACAGCCTCTGTTCCCCAGGTTTAGTGATTCTCCTGCCTCAGCCTCCTGAGTAGCTGGACTGCAGGCCCGTGCCACCACACCGGGCTAATTTTTTGTATCTTTAGTAGATACAGGGTTTCGCTGCGTCACAATATTTTTTAAGAAGATTGTTTACAATCTAATTGGTATATAATGCCCATTTGACATTTTGCATACTTTGAGGTTTGAATTTCAATATATGGTTGTTGGTTTTGCTCGTTTTCAGCACCTAAAAATCCTTATAGGAGCTCTAATATGTGTGTGCCAGCTCCTGCTTCTATAACAGCGGCAACTTCTTTTGGGAGGGGCCATGAGCCTCAAGCAGAAGACTCAGAAGTTATTAAGAAAATAATTTTTAGAAAACCCCACAAACAAACTTTGAGGAAGCTTGTCATTCGGCTTTCAGACCAAGGAGTGAGGTTGGAGCCCTAACCCTTCCTTTTCCCTCCCTCCCTGGCCACCTCTCAGTGGCCAGGTGTACTGTGTGTTCCCTATTTGTTGGTATCACTGCATTCTGAAAAGTGCCATTGTGAGCAAATGGGATACACAACCTTTTTAATTTATTTTGTGAGAGATAGGGGTCTCTGTTGCCCAGACTGTAGTGCAGTGGTGTGATCATAGCTCACGGCAACTTCAAACTCCTGGCCTCAAGCGCCCCTCTCACCTCTGCCTTCAAAGCACTAGGGTTACAGACGTGCGCCACTGCTCCCATCCAAGGGATGCACGGTCTTTTCAACCCCAGACTTTTAATAGCACAGTCCTCAGCTACTTTTTGTTATGGTTTTGATTTGACACAATAATCTACCTGTGAGTGAAACCACCATTTTTTACTGGCCAATGAAGCCCTCCTAAATATTAGTAAAGGGCCACCTGTCCATTGAGAAGTGAAACTGAATAAAAGATGATCATCCTTCCTGTACTTTATGTCTACCATAGGTCACTCGTGCCCTGGAATTGAAGGTCAAGAGGCTCTCTGGGAGGTGCTGTCCCCCATGAATCATCGTGAATCTGATGTTCCCTAGGATTTAGTGTCCTGCAGGGAAGCATTTATCTTCTGCTCCTGGGGCACTAACAGTGCTGGTCCTAAGCTTTGCAAGGCCTAAATGAGAAAAAGAGAAACACACAGGCTCAAGGGTGGTGTCTGCCCACCTGGCGTGCTGCAGAGTCCTCTCCTTCGCACATGCTTCTCCCAAGAGTGGTCCCTGATATGGCAGCTTCGGTAGCCCTGGGGAACTTGTTAGAGAAAGCCAAACTTTGGCTTCCTCCCCAGACCTTCTGAATTAGAAAATTCACGGTGGGGCCTAGTCATTTGTTTTTTTTACAAACCCCTCACCCCAGGTGCTTCCATGGCACTCTCATATGTGAGCGGCTCAGGTCTTGAAAAACTGAGAGGAAGTGGAGAAAACTGAGGCTGGTGTGGGCTGTGGCCATACTCTAGGCCTGTCTCATGGTGCACACAGATCAGCTCCTCACCCATGGAGGGGTATCGTCAGTGCGCACAGTTTGTGGTTGAGCCGTGTGCTTGGAGATCCCAGGGAGACCTTCTTGGCCAGGGCCGGTGCAGGCTGCTGCTATCCTGTCTGCAATTTGTGCATTCTTGGGTTCCTCCTCAATGCCTGTTACACTGATTTAGAAAATGATGTTGAAAATCACAACTTATTTTTTCTTATTTAGAATATTGGTTAATCTTTCAATAAACAGAAGAGATGACAGAAGAGGATCACTCAGACTTAAGTCCACTACCCAAAAGATCAGAAAGTGCTGGGTCCCATACATACACACACACACACACACACACACACACACACACACCTGAAAAAGTCACCATTCTTGGCTGGGCAGGGTGGCTCACACCTGTAATCCCAGCACTTTAGGAGGCCAAGGTGGGTGGATCATGAGATCAGGAGGTGGGTAGATCATGAGATTAGGAGTTTGAGATCAGCCTGGTTACCATGATGTGGTGTCTACTAAAGATGCAAAAAATTAGATGGCTGTGGTAGTGCATGCCTGTAATCCCAGCTACTTGGTAGGCTGAGGCAGGCAAATCTCTTCAACCGGGGAGGTGGAGGTCGCAGTGAGCTGAAATTGTGCCATTGCACCACTGAGATCGCGCCATTGCATTCCAGCCTGGGCGACAGGGTGAGACTGCATCTCAAATAAAGGAAAGTCACCATTCTTTTTGATCAGCTCCTGCGCTTAAGACATCTTTCCCCTGCCATAAGGGCATCTTCTGCATCATCATTGTTAATAACTTTCATGCTGGCCTATCTTTAAGCAGCAACAGTAGACCCAGCATCAATTATGTGCCTTCACCATGTAAAATAGGCTCTACACAAAGTACTTGTATTAGTCCATTCATTTTTACAACAATGGTATGACATAGGTTCTATTGTTAGCCTAATTTTACCCTCAGTAACTTGTCCATGATAACTCAGCTGGTGAATGGCAGTGGTTCAAGGCCAACCTGGGGTTTTTGATTACAAAGAACAGGCTCCCAGCTACTGTGCTGCCTGATGACTGTTGAGTTGTGTTTGGGGTTTTATTTTTAATATTATAAAATGCTAGGATGAAATTTGATGTAGCTTAATTGTGGTATCTACTCTTATTTTATATCATTAGGATAAAAAGAGAGATGGTATTACTTGGTATTGCATTTTCTCAAAGTATTTCAGTAGATTTTATCTAGTTGCCACCCTCCAGAAGGTAAAACCAACGTTCTACCAGTATACGTTGGTGTCTGTTTTCCCAGAAGTTGCCTGTACTGGGAATTACCATTTTATGGAACCTTGCCAATGTGACTGGAAGAACTGTATCTCACCATTTTAGTTTATGTTTATATAGTTACTAACAAAAGCTCCTCTTCTACTATTTCTTCATAGGTCTGTTAGCTTTTTGTGAAGGTATTTGTTTAATTGCTTTATTGAGATATTATTTACAAATGATAAAGTCACCTGTTTTAGATGGTTCAATTCAGCAGTTTTTAGAAGCTGTGCAACAATCACCAGAGTCCAGTTTTAGAACCTTTTTATAACCCGGCAGTATCCCAGTGACCGTTCCCAATCATTTTCCTTCCTAGCCCGTCCCGGGTAACACTAATCTGTTTTCTCTACACATTTGTCTTTTCTGGGCATTTTGTAGGACTGGAATCATACAACGTGTGGCCTCTGTACTGGCTTCTTTTACTTAGCATAATGTTTTCAAGGTTTCTCCACGGTTTAGCATCAGTACTTCTTCCGTTTCGGAGAAGAATTTTGTGGATATACTGCATTTTGTTCGTTTGTTTATCAGTTGATGGACTTCTGGATTGTTTCTACTTTTTGGGTATGATAAAGAATATGACTCGTATTCACGGACAAATTGTGTGGATGTATGTTTTCATTTTTTTTGTGGTGGGGGGCGGTATATACCTGGAAGTGGAATTGCTGAGACGTATGGTGACTATGTTTAGCATTTCGAGGAAATGCCAAACTGTTTTCCAAAGTGTCTGCCCTATGTCACCTTCCCATCAGCTTGGTGTGACTATTCTCATTTCATTATATCCTCGCCAACACTTGTTATTGTCTGTCTTTTAGATTATAGGCATGTTAGTGGTTGGAAGTGAAAACAAACACTTTTATAACGTCATTTCTCGGAATGAGTTATTGACCCATAGTACCTGAACGATGGGTGTGTTGAACATAACGGTGCCGCTAATGACCACGTGACGACCTGGCATCTCAGTACTGTAACGGCATTGGATCCTTTTGCTGTTTGTCTTTAAATTATTTCCCTCGTGTTTTTCCTCATAGCAAAATGTTTACTGAGTTCATCCTCAATGTTCCTGTTGGTTTGCTGACCATCCAGAAGCTCTACTGCTTGATCGAAATTGTCCACAGTGACCTCTTCACACAGCATGGTGAGTGGAAACCTAAGAAATATTCACTTGTCTCGTTATTTATTTTCTGAAGACATCGACCCTCTGAATTGCCTCCTCTTGACAAAAGGAGTGAAGGTTGCAACCAATTAAAACTGCTGTATTACAAGACAGGAAGATTTAGCCCTTACAAGAGAAGGGTAATTGACATGTAGTGCAGGTAATAGATCATTGAGAAACGAAGGCGGAAGCTCCGAGTCTGTAATTTAGGTGTACACCAAAGTCCTAGGGTAATCAGCATACATTGTAGCCTTTAAGATTTGTGATTGTCTGTCCTGGGGAGGCAATCACTTGCCTCCATTGTGATGATTGCAAGGAAAATGATTCAAGTTTTCTTTAAATCTGGAAGTAGTGGTTCTGTCTTTTTCTGAACTTTGCATTCTTTTACAGCATTTCTTCAAATCCTACTCAAAGTATTAAGAATTTTAATGATTCTTCAACTCATTTATCCTGCAGAACACCTTATATTTCCCCATGTTATCTCCCTGCCCTTTTTATTAATCATTTCCTTTCTATTTGGACAGATTGAATTAATATTTTACACTTGTCAAGCAATTTTATTGAAAGCTTAAAACCTCTGCATAATTCCACGAACGTCCTCATTTCTTGGAGGCAAATGTGAAGTCTGTTGATTGACATTCTGACTGAGAGGCATGGATTTATTCAATTCCATTTGTGCCCGGACGTTTGGCTGCTGCATTCATTTTCTGCTGTCCTCATTCTTGGTGTTATTTGCAGTTCCCCTGTGGTTTAATCGATGGGCCATCCCAGACTTGGGATGTCCCCGTTCAGTTACCGGCTGGATTCAGAATGCATTCGGTGCTTGGCTTGGTCCTTAGTGCCTTCTGGGATGCAAATTTTAATCTTCTTTCTTGAGTTAACCTTATAAAATGCACCAGAGTATACACTTATTGCTAAGGCTGATATTTAAAGAAAATGTTGATTTAATTTATGTGGGAGTGTTCTACTCTAGAAAAAAACAAATCAAACCAAGAAGTGGGTGACTTTCTGCAGACCTTCCATGTAGACCTCTCTGAGTCAGAAGCCATTTCTCATTCTCATAAAAGAAAGTCAGCTCATACCATTGTCTGGGACTCAAAACACATGACTCTCCACTGAGCCGTTATTCTTGACTGTCCATATTTCAGTTTCTCACTGGAGACTGAATTGCCCACTCACCAGGTGTCTCCCCAAATTTGGGGACTCTAGAGGTCTTAAGGAAAGGCTGATGATAGAGGTGATGGCTAGGGACCCTGATTCAGGGTTTCTTCCTACACTGACTAAGCTTTATACCACAGAAAGTAAAATTCCTCCGAAAGTTTTATATCTGGGTCTTACTAGGTGGGTTACTGACACCCCACCTCCTACCCATTCGGTGCCAAGACACACACATACTCCATCACCAGCATTGCATCATCAGTATCTTCATCAAGTTAACAACTGTCAATAAGTGTCAACTGTTTATGAATAACAATTGTCAGTAAATTGTCAATGAATTGTGCTTGATTTTTCTTGAGTGTTGATTTAACGAAGTCCTTCTCCAGGATACATTTACATATATTTCAAAATTTCTGTTGCAAAACTTTGTTCTGTATGTCACTTAGTTTCTTTGAATAAGGGCGTAAGCCACAAAATATTCAATTAAACATATTTAAAACAGATGTTTTTCTATTAAAACTTACTCATTTTTCTAGCTTGTAGAAAGCTTGAAGGAAACTTACTGTTTATATTCAATGATTATGTTAGCTTAGGTGTTTGTAATTGTGTTTCTCTTCTTCTTTTCTATGCCCCATTTCTGTTTTCATTCCTGTTCTCTAAGCCTTTTATCTTAGACAGCCTGAAGTCATGTTTTAGAAGTATGCAGCATGTGAATAAATACTTAGCTTTGTTTAATATGGAATTACCAGCTAATATAATATTTTGAAATAATTAAACTACTATCATCTTTCAAGTATGGAGTTAGGATTTTGATTTTATTATAAGCAAGTGGAACCCAATGTAGTAAAGGAGATTGTATGAAATATATGAATCTCAAATTATTTTGGGCTCAATGAACCAGAATTAGCCTGAAGCTTCATGTTTTACAAGCACCTCCAGAATTGCCCCATCAGTAGAAGTTGTCTAAGCCATAATTTGCAGCTCAAATGTACTTCTAAATGCTTAGTGGTTGCCTAGAAGCATTTCAGAATGCTTTGGCCAATGTGAAAATGGTCCCATTTATTGGCTTTGAGTTTTAAGCGTCTTTCTTTAAACAACCTCAGTTTTTCTCATCTGCAAGCTTGTTCAAAGCCGCCAACAGACGTCTTACCTCCTAATCAGGAATGATTTATCACCAGAAATCTTCCAGTTGGTCCATTCTTACAAAACATGTCATTACTTTTGCAAAATATTCTGTGCCACCTTTGGTATAAGAATTAAAGCCAAACCATTTTCTGATGAGACATGTTGAATCTGATTTTCATGCCTTTTCTGTTTCTTGTTAATTTGTGCAAATGTGGTTGTTTTTGTCCTGTTTCCTGATCCCAGTGGAATCAGTCAAATGAACTCTCCATTTCTAGAAATTGGTATAGCTGGATTCAGCTGCATATGTTGTTGATTGCACTCGCCCTCAGTGAACATCCTCTGGAGGATGTGGAAGGATGCATCACTGTGTCTTCCAGACTCCTTCGTGGGGGCTCCCTGGGTGAAGTGGGACTCCCAAGTGTTCGCTTCTCAGCATATGTGTTGACTTACTAAGAGACCCACTGGTTGCTTTGCACCAAAACATTTCTTTTTATCTCCCCCTGATACAATGACAAGTGGATCTGTTTGCAAGAGGCTGGCAGTGAATTCTGAAAGTGGTATTGTTCCTCTGCAGAAAAGCCTTTCATTACCAGGTCTGAGTCCCAGTAGGCCAGGCCTTACAGTGCCTTGGTGGTTTCTGGCCTTGTTTTCCCCATTTCTCTGTCTTTGAGAACATGGATGCTAGATGCATCCAGCTGAGTTTGTTGGGTTTCATAGGAGGCACGTCTTTGGGCTTGTCAAAGCAAGTCAGCTGTGTGTGGTCCAGCCCATGTGGGACTGGCCTGAATGAGGACACCAGGGCTGTGTCACTGCTGCCATTTTCTCACAGAGCATTCAACCTTCCTCTCCCCTTCTGTTCTAGCCAGGCCCTTAAGGATTAGGTGATGGCCACCCACACTCTGCAGGGTGGACGTGCTTCACTCGGTCTACCAATTCCAACACTTATCTGTGCTGGAAACATCCTTGCAGACACACTCAGAAATAATGTTCAGCCAGCTCCCTAGATATCTGTGGTGCAGTCATTTGACATTTAAAATTAACCATCACAGAGTATTTCCTCCAGGAGAACTCTGACTGTCCTCCTAAAATACCCACTACCTGCCACCTCATGGCTCCTCATGGCACAGTCCCCATGTAGAATCATTATATTTCTTACTTGCTTACTTGTGGGCCCTCCATAGGATGAGAGCTTTCCAAGCTGGGCCTTGTTCATCTAGGTTTTGCTGTTCTACATAGCGCATGCCTGGCCTCAGCATGCCTGTGGTGCATATTTATTGAATGAATGAAATGCGTATGAGTATTCCTAACCAGGAGGCAGTACAGAGAAAGAAGCATGACCAGCTACACATGTGGTTGACTTGATTGAAGGGAGGTGAAGGTTTGGGTTCACCTGGGGAAATGACAGTCTTTCCTGGTCTTGACTTTGAATTAATTGATTGTAGAGGAGAAAGGAGAGGTCTTATTGGAGGAGTAACATCAGGAGAAAAGGGAGAGGGAGATGAGTGAGAGACTTGAGGTGTGGAGAGTCTTCTCTGAACAGTTTTATAAAATCAAGATGATCTTCTATTTGCATCTGGTCTAATGATCCCTCTGTTTTCTGGAAATATGATGAAGAGGGGGGTGCAGTTCAGATCGATGCATTCAAGATACCTTTTTGCTAAAACTGAAAAATTTCAAACTTACAGAAGAGCAGAGAGAAGAGCATAATGTACACCAGTGTACTCATCACTCAGCTCCACAAATTACCAACTTACTATCCGTCTATTTTATCTACATGCCCCTCCTCCAGATATTTTGAGGTAAATCTTTGCCATCACAGCATTCCATTTGTGTCATTTTAAATGTATGGTGGTGATACAGAGGGCACAGTAGTGTTCCTAAGAAGAGGATGTGCAGAGGAGCTGGTCCCCATGCTGGTGAGACATCTACCTTGGATGTTCCCACCCTTGCCCCTTTGCCAGGGTGGAGGGCTTATAACATGTTAGCATGCTGTGCATGAGTCAGTGAATGGGCTGTGCGCATGAGTCAATGAGCTGTGATGGCTTTAAGCTTTGTCTCGCGGTGTGACTTGACTACTTGAAAGCTGGTTAATAGATTAATGTGCTTCACCAAAAGATGACTCTTGCATATAATCTGTGGTGTGGAGTGAGGAGATTTTCAAAGCAAGATAGATACAAAGAGATGGAAAGGTCAAAGCTTCATCATTGTGCCTTTGCAGCTTTGTTTCCATGTGATTGTATTGTTGCCCACTTAGCTGACAAAAGCTGTGAAAATTAAAGTTTCAATCTAATAGAAATGAAAAGTTTTAGTGTAAATAAACACTAGAACACTGACGTTTAGGATTTGTGCTCACAAAAATGTATAACATTAATGTTAAAGAAATTGGAATAAAATGAATCAACCTGAGCTAATCCTGACTTTTAGTGAAGAGCATTGGCCATACATCTAAGATGCCTTTGAGTGGAGGTGAGTCCTCTTGGAATATGATCTCTCACCCACTGGCCCCTTCTGAATCTGACACCTGTGGGAAGCTCGTTTCAATGACCAGTGGGTCACTTCTTTGCCTTTCAAGATGTAATTTTTCCATATTCCCATTTTGATCGTGGCCAAAGCAATGGACAGGTTTTCTTTAGAGTTTACTGTGTATCATTTTATCCTCACTTAGTTTGTTTTGGGGGGGAGTGTGGGATTTTGAGAGT